TCAAACTTAAAAAAAAACCTTAGAAAGATTTATATATAAAGCTAAAGTAAAATCATATAAATAAAACAAATAGTTATTTTACAAACTATAAAAACTACAAATTCTCTTTGAAATAAAAAATTCAAAAAGTTATTTCGAATATAAACAAACAGAATTTGAAAAAAGAGTTGGAAAGTGAACAATTACGAAAGATGACAGGATAACTAGCTAAGAATAGTTATCAAACTTATTTAAAAATGCTTAAAATATTAATGCTTAAAATTATAGTAATATCATTTATATCCACTTTACTGAGTAAAATGAATGAAAGTTTTTCATAAATAAAGTGTTTAATTATATAGCATAGAAATGAATTTGATTTATACGAAGGAGGAAAAACATGGCAAATACTTATCAACCATTTATTCTCAATGATGGTAATATAAAATTGATATGCGATCATTTTACTCATCAGTCAGATAATATATGAGTTTTAATCTAAAATATATAATTAAACTAAAACAAGATTATTAATTATATTTTTTAACATAGTCATGTTGTTTACATTCACATGATATGAAAAGAGACAAAAATATTCTCACATACATTCACAAATATAGTAAGATTCATCACTCAAAAGGAAAAATGCCTCAAATCAAGTAAAATCAATAATTTATCAAGTACGCATAATTTTTTGATATGAAAACCCATCAAATATATGTAATATTTGAACAAATCTTTTGCTCTGTCTAGCCAATTCGAACTAAAATTCTCTTCATTTAGAGTTATAACAGATCACAGAACTGAATGAGATGGAAGCTTGCATGAAATAAGAGAAAAAACCAGTAAATTGCAATCAAAATAGTGAGACAAGAGCTATAAGAAAGGGAAAACAAGTAAAAGACTAATTATGCTTGAAAATGAGTTAGATTTTTTGAAAATCGATATAAAATTAAGAGAACATTTAGTTTACAATGGAGAATGATCGATGATGATTTCACTTTGTTGATCTATGAAAATAAGATGTAGAAAAAGATGTAGAAAAAGATGAGAAATCAATTTAATACAAATAAACAGTAAGAATACATATAATACTTATTGCAGTATATAATTTTTTAACAATTAATATATTATAATCTATATTAGAAGAATAATTTACAATATAGATATATATTTATATTAAGATAACAAAAATATTTTAAAAATAAAATTTTATATATATATATTTAAGATAATAGTAACGCGCAGATAAAAATTAATAAATAAGTCTGCGCAACGCGCAGATATAAATCTAGTAAACTTAATAAAAATAATGATAATGAATGTGATAATGAAATATATGCTTTTCTGAATTATTATTGGTTGCTACAAAATACAAATTACCAGTTTCTCTTAAATTATTTTAAATAATTATATTAATTTTATCCAATATTTGAATTAATTGAATGGTTATTTCTAGTATTCTAAATTTTGTTGAAAGATGATTTGTTTAGTTTTTATTATTTGTTTACAGTTTTGAATAAATTTGACCAGAAAAAAAAATTAATAGGCAATTTTAGAATTATTTTGGAAAAACCCAAATTAATAGGCAGTTTTCTTATATTTTAGAAAACTATTTGTTCAAAATCGTGATTGTTGGTGCGGAACAAAACATTCATAAACTTGTATATTTACATTTTTTAAAAGTTTTAGCGCCTTTCGACATCTCGACTCTTTATCGTTTATCTCCAATTTAAAATAATATTTACTTTGGACAATTTCCATAATTATACTAAAAACAAGTTTTCAGGACAAATATAACAGAGAAGCTAAAACTTTTCTACACTTAACATTTTTCATTTGAGTTTTTCGATTTTGCCCTTTAGGAAGGTTTTCCTAAATGTTTTTTTTCTGTTAATGTTTCGAGATTTTTTAGGAAGGTCTTCCAAATACTAGAATTTAACATCGTTTCATATGATTTAGGTAAGGTTTTCTAAATTTTTTTAAAAATTCTGAATTATAGAAGGGCTTCCTGAATTGTGGAAAACATGAATTGTGAAAATGTATCTTGGAAGGGCTTCCTGAATTTGAATTGTATAAATTAACAAAAAAAAAATCAATTATACGATTTACGAAGACATTCCTAAATACATGTAATGGCTTCCTTAATTATGCATTTTAGGAAAATTTTTCTAAAAGTTTAGAACATCTTCCTAAATTTACTATCATCTCATTCCTCACCTCTGCGACACTCAAACCCTAATTTCCGCCGATTTCCTTTTTTTAACCATTGTTGTTGTTTTAGCTCGGGTTTCTTATGCCTTTTATCCAATTATATCAGATCTATCTTCTACTAATATGATTTTGATCTTTAAATTCCAAAAATACTTTCCCATAAAAAAAAGCTCCAAATATCTAAAAGATTCACAATCACAAACCACAATCAAACAGAAGAACGATTCTAAACAAAGATGAACTCGAAATTGTCATCAACGGCGGCGACTCGTCGGCGGCAGCAACTCGTCGGCGTGAAGAATCCTGATTTGAAACTGGATGAAGATGAAGGAGATCGTGATTTGAAATTAGTGAATTCAAAATGGTCAGCTTAAAAACAGGTTTTTAGTGTTATTTAACTGAGGGCATTAATGTCATTCTTTCTTATAAAATGTTAGAGGGTGGAAATAATTTAGCGTGTGGTATAGTTTTGGAACATAAATTAGTTTTCAGGGTATCTGAAGGAATTCTCTACTTTTTTTGTCTTTACCTAAATTGAGAATATTACATTTATAAGCACTTAATGAGTTTTCAATTACGTTCAAATGTACTTACAGAGAGAAGAAGACTTTGCCCAAGTAAAAAGACAATACCATCCTCACATGGGTACTCATCCAAACCTAACTCCATCAAATCTTTTTCTATCCCGACCAAGAGCAGTTTAGAGCTTAAGAACAAGAAGCTCGCTTCTGGATCCAAATCCTCAAATTCTACAAAACCCATTATTTCTTCGACCAATAAATCAGCGGATTTGCTCAAATCAAGCTCATTCAAAAACAAAACCACCACAAAGTCCCCCCCCCGTTCCAAACTTTCTCCTCCTCCAGAAAAGAAGAAATCCCCACCATACTCAGATAAATCTTCAAAACCGATGACCAAATCGGCACCAGCGGAGAAAGAAATCAAACCTTTCTGGCTCGACGACGAGGAAGAAGACGACTTCATCATCGAATTCAGGGATCTACCAACGAGATGCCAACGATCCCTAATCCCAGACCTGGAGCGAATCTCAGCGACATCCAAGAGCTACATCAACAAAGCCAACAAAGAGATCACTAAGAACTTCAAGCCCTACTTCGGCAACAAATACGCACCAACCATAGCCTATGTGGTCTCCTTCGTCTTCATCCTCATCCCTTTACTCTTAGTCTCCCTCATTTTCAACCAATGCAAAGACGGCTTTTGGCTTATGGTCACCGCTGTTTTATCTATTCATATCGAATTTGAGATTCATGTAAGAGATCGAGCATTTTCTTTGGCTCTGAATTTGTCAAATTTAAGCTCAAAACTCATATAGGTTTTACAAAGCATTTAATTGTTTTTTAAACTTTTTTCTGTGTGATTCAAAATCCTTTCTTCATTACTCTTCTTTTTTTATTAAATAACAGCATATGTTTCTCCTGCTATCTAATTTTTAATCTCTCAAAAATGAAGAAGACAATCTGTACTCAATCCCTAAATCCCTAGGAAATTTTACACTTTCCCGTCTTATGAGTCAGGTGGACAATGATAGTGTGTACAATATCATCATTGAAGTTATGGACACGATGTTGTGGACATAAGGTTCTGGATATAACATCGTAGACATCATGGTGTTGGTTTGTGGACAACGATAGCGTGCTGTACGATATCATTATTTAAAATTATGGACACGATGTTGTGGACACGATGCTGTGGACATGAGGACGTGGATATAACAACGTGGACATAACAACGTGGACATGATGGTGTTGGTTTGTATATACGGACAAACACTACTCTAGATCGCTATTATATGAACAAATATTCACATGATAAGAAACATTATGATATTCTATATCTCCATCTGCTTTTGATTTTGACTAAATTAAACTAGAAAGAAGGCGTGAACATGAAAACGTGGACATGGTGGTGTAGTTTGTATATTTAGCTCTCTTCATGATTTTGATTTATTAACATTGGAGTTTAGCTGTGAAAAGCAAGGATAATTTTTTATAGAAATTCCTCTAAAACACTGTCGTTAAAAGACTAAATTTGTTTCACCTTTATTAAGAAAGGTAATTAAAAGAATAACATCCAAAAAAGTCAACAACACCAATAAGGGTATTTCGGTCATTCAGAATAACAGAAAACAAAGAGATGCCAAAACAAAGTGCACCGATAGCTATAAGACAACCAATAGCTATAAGTGTCTTCTACCGTAAAAGATAACTCCAAAGTTTCCACATATAAATCACTCTACATAAATTATACTAAAAGCTCGAGCGTTTATTTTCAACTGAGAAAATAAATACTCCTATGTCATTAAAAATAAATACTTCCGACATCACACAGCTACCCCCGACAGTGCCGGTAAAAAAACGGCCACGTCATCACGGACTCCAGCTCTCGTCTTAAATCCACCTCTTTCTCTCTCTTCAGCCACCACCACCTTTGTCTACTCCTTCGCCGAATCTGACAATACCGTCAAATTTCGTTTTCCAGATCTTCTTCTTCCTCCTTCTGTGAACCTTCACAGATCTAAACATCTCAAGAGCCGAAGAAACTAAGCTCCAATAATCCGACACTGTTTTGACTCCGACGTGGACGCCGACGAATCTTCCCCGTAGATCTAGCGAACGGTAATTTCTAAAAATAGCTTTAGGAAAAAATTGAAATTGAAATCGAAAACCAATTTCAATATTCAAATGTGTTTCCCGTTGGAATCAAATTCTGTGAAACCCAAATTCTGTCGATAATTTTCGAATTCTTTGTTACAATTTGCAGATATTCGAATCCGGATTTAGGAGATGGCGCCGAGTATTCGAAAAGCGATCGGAGCGGTTAAGGATCAGACGAGCATCGGGATCGCGAAAGTGGCGAGCAACGTGGCACCAGATCTAGAAGTAGCGATCGTGAAAGCCACTAGCCACGACGACGATCCCGCGAGCGAGAAGTACGTCCGCGAGATCCTAAACCTGACTTCACTCTCTCGCGGCTACATCCTCGCCTGCGTCACCTCCGTCTCACGGCGATTGGGGAAAACGCGCGACTGGGTCGTCGCTCTCAAGGCACTGATGCTCGTCCACCGTCTCCTCAACGAAGGAGACCCTCTGTTCCAAGAAGAGATTCTCTACTCGACGAGACGAGGTACGAGGATGCTCAACATGTCTGATTTTCGCGACGAGGCGCATTCGAGCTCTTGGGATCATTCGGCTTTCGTGAGGACTTATGCTAATTATTTGGATCAGAGGCTTGAATTAGCTCTGTTTGAGAGAAAAGGTGGTGTGAAGGTGAAGAGTGGTGGTAGTAGTAGCCATCACAGCAATAATGATGATAGATACGGTAGAGGAAGAGATGATTTTCGTTCTCCTCCTCCGCCTCCGCGATCTTATGATTATGAGAACGGTGGTGGCGATTTCAGGGGAGATAATAATGGTTATGGTGGTGTGCCTAAGAGATCTCGGTCTTACGGAGATATGACTGAGATGGGGGGAGGAGGAAGAGACGAGAAGAAAGCTGTGACGCCGTTAAGGGAAATGACGCCGGAGAGGATTTTCGGGAAGATGGGTCATTTGCAGAGGCTTCTTGATCGGTTTTTGTCGTTGAGACCTACCGGTTTAGCTAAAGGAAGCAGGATGATATTGATCGCGTTGTACCCTGTTGTGAGGGAGAGTTTTAAGCTGTACGCTGATATCTGTGAGGTTCTAGCTGTTTTGCTTGATAAGTTTTTCGATATGGAGTATACTGATTGCGTCAAGGCCTTTGATGCGTACGCTAGTGCGGCTAAGCAGATAGATGAGCTCATTGCGTTTTACAATTGGTGTAAGGAGACTGGTGTGGCGAGATCGTCTGAGTACCCGGAGGTTCAGAGGATCACGGGGAAGTTGTTGGAGACGTTGGAGGAGTTTGTTAGAGACAGGGCGAAGAGAGGGAAGAGTCCCGAGAGGAGAGAGATCGAAGCTCCTCCTCCGCAGCAAGAAGAGGAGCCTGAACCTGATATGAACGAGATCAAAGCGCTTCCTCCTCCGGAGAATTACACTCCTCCACCTCCGCCTGAACCAGAGCCTCAGCCAGTAAAACCGCAGTTCACGGAGGATTTAGTTAACTTGAGAGAAGATGAAGTCACTGCTGATGACCAAGGGAACAAGTTCGCGCTCGCGCTATTCGCGGGTCCGCCGGGAAGTAACGGCAAATGGGAAGCTTTCTCCTCGAACGGAGTGACTTCGGCGTGGCAGAACCCCGCCGCAGAGCCCGGGAAAGCGGATTGGGAACTGGCATTGGTTGAAACAGCTAGTAACTTAGAGAAACAGACGACGGCTCTAGGCGGTGGCTTCGATTCGTTGCTTCTCAACGGGATGTACGATCAAGGAGCGGTTAAACAACACGTGAGCACGTCGCAGTTAACGGGAGGGAGCGCGAGCAGCGTTGCTTTACCGTTACCGGGTAAAACCAACAATCAAGTATTGGCCTTACCTGCACCGGACGGAACCGTGGAGAAAGTGAACCAAGACCCGTTCGCGGCTTCGTTAACCATCCCACCGCCTTCGTACGTGCAAATGGCTGAGATGGAGAAGAAGCAGTATCTGCTGAGCCAAGAGCAGCAGCTATGGCAGCAGTACCAGCGTGAAGGGATGAGAGGTCAAGCGAGTCTGGCGAAGATGAACACTGGTCCGATGCCTTATGGAATGCCACCTGTCAACGGGATGGGACCGCCACAACAGTTGTATTACTACAACAACCCTTACTGATTCATTTTTTTTGTTTTATTCATATATATATATATATATATGTGTAGATGACTCGTCTTCCTCATTCGATCTCGTGTGTGTTTTTATTGTCATCATCGGATTGTTGTAAAACGATAAAATCTCTCACGTTCTGAACCTTCTGTGTCTCTCTACTCGAGTTTGATTTATGGTTTTATGTACAATTTATTGAAATTCTTGATTCCGTTTTGTATAAGTAACATATTTTTATATCTTCTTTGATGTTTCCCACTGTTTAAACTGCAAGAACATTTTTGTCCGATTTGAGAGTTTTATAGTTTGAATTGCAAAGTCTATATACTTGTCATGTTTGTGTTGTATTGTCCGAAGCAGAGGATGAAACTAAAGAAAATGCTTACATAGCCTATTCTTTCAAGTTTTTGAACTTATTGGTTGGTTCTTTTGTAATTTATTTAGGTGAAACAGATTTGTCGCTTCCCTTTTTTATTTTTATTATTTCAGGAAATATATTTACCATAAATAAATTCATTTTTTTAGTTGAGATTGTGTAATGGAAGTCTTAAAAAGTAGGTGAACCAATGGGTTATATAAACATTGACAGCTAGGATGGGACCCTCCATTACCACAAATACGTATCAATCCTTAAGTTATTTGTCTTTCGAGAACTTAAAAATGAAAAACCAAAGTAGAAACTAAGCTGGAGTCTATTCATGCCCAACTCATGTAAGGGTGTTGTATCATTTTTGTATTGTATAACCACGTCACCTTTCTTGCTAAATCTTTTTGAAAAATTAAAAAATTTGCACCGTCTATGTGATATATGATGCCTTCACTAATTTGGTAGGGATTGGGCTATATTAGACCATCCTCGTCAGTAGAAATGTTAATAAAAAATGTTAATAAAGAAGTTCTTAACCATAAATATTATTATTTTAATATAATTTACTATGTATAGTTAAATTTTAATATTTAAAAGAAATAGATCCAGTAAAATACTTAGGTAAGAATTCTCCATCTCTTACAATTGGGTTTATAAAATTCGTTCTCTATTAACATCTTAAATTATAATATCTTAAAGAAAACAAGTGGGTTTATAATATCTTAAATTGTAAGAATTCGTTCTCTGTTAACAACTTTTCAGAACATTTTTAAAGTTTCTCTTTTACTTTTTGAATTTTTTTATAATATTTTACAGTAAAATACTTTGGTAAGAACCACTAATGGAGTTGTTCATATACTTAACTATTAGATAAAACATATGTATATGAGTATCTCTTCATATTTTAACTTTTTAGTATTTAACGATTGATACATGAGTTTTTACACTTTTATGATTTATTTTTTTAAAATTCTATAATCATGTCATTGTAGTGTTTGAGATATTAATCTAATCAGGGACATAAAACAATGAGAATATATGAATTCTAGTGAGTTAAATTGATCAAAAAATATTGTAGAAGTGTCTAACAATCTAATGATCAATCAACCAAGCCCAAAAAATATTGAACTAGACTGCATGACAAATAACTAAACAATTCAAACTCAAGAAACAAAACAAAAATAAAGCAAATCGAAATTAAACAACGAGGAGTCTTAGGATGGAGATATTGCTCCAATGATGAAACAACAATCAATCCTTGATGTGCAAACTTAACCAATAAGGCTAATCTTTCAGCATATAACTTCTAAACAAGCAGATCAATTCAATCTCTTGACAAAGATCCATTTGCTAACAACTTAATCAAGATCTAATTTCTATTAGTGATCAAGCAATCAACAAGCATAAAAGCATCAGTTCTATCAAGCCAAAATACTTCATAGTCAATCATTCTCATGTGTAAGGCAAATAAATCTTTAAAATGATTGGTTCAGGCATTTCATCAAACATTTTTGGTGCAGAAAAAACCTAAATTCGAAATCCAAGTGATCAAAAAATATTAAGCATGAAGAGCACAAATAAGAAAAGATCTATCAATATTAAGCACTAAACATCAAGGATCAACCACTAAATCACCATGGATCTAACCCATCCTAAGAACCTTAAGAGAACTACTCAGAACACATAGAGATTATGGTGAAAATAAGAGAGTTAGTATGAGAAACCATAATCAAAAGCAATACAAAGATGATCAAAAGCAGAAACTGCAAACTCTTAACTAAAACTCAAATTATGCTTACAAATCTTAAAATTTCTGTAAAAAGCTTAAGAATAAGGGAGAGAGAGAGAGAATATTTAGATCATAAAAGCATAAAAAACAAGATAAGATTAATTGTTGATAAGGTTTGCTTTAAATAGTTAAAAGATTAAGACTTGTTCAATGATCAAAACTCGGATTTTAACCAAAGTCAAGAAAAGGGAAAAACCAAAGGAAGGAGAGTTGGCCCAAGGAATTTGGTCGCTGCAGGTGGTTGATAGGGCTCAAGTTTTACCCAAATAAAACTACTGCAAGTTCACAGCAATGTAGTTATAGTATAAAGGGTTATCGAATCCCAAGAGAGTAAGTAAACTACTCTATTGAATTCAAGTTCGGATTAAGCTAAGCAATAATGAGTGAATGTAATGCGAAGTAACAAAACAAATAAAAGCACGCGATTTGTTGTTTGATCTAAAGTTAAGATGCTAAAGGCACTAAGTCAGGACAATTCGCAGGTTGAATCCAAGAGTGTAGAATGCATGCAAGCAGAAATGAATTAAAACCGTCTTAAACTCAAAACCTCCTGTGGATTCAGGTGCATGCATAGAAAAAGTAAAGGTTCTCACAACCTCCTTTATCTCAACAACCAAGAACTTGCAAGAGTAGAAAGAACTAACAACAAAAGAAGGAAAAAGAAGTCGAACCAAGTCACAATGGGTGATGTCGTCGACAACCAAGGTCTAGTTGAGGCTCAAGCTAACCAAGCTGCAGAGCTCCAACATGTGCAACAACAGCTGAATAGATTGTTGCAACAACAACAACAGCAACATGAGCAGAAAGGTATTGGGGATGTAGATACACCTCACACATTTTATAGGAACCGAGCTGCCATCTGCACATCAGCTATTGAAAGAGCAGATTATGAGATAAAACCTCAGATGATTGCACTGGTGAAGCAGCATCTATTTCATGGCCTCTCTGCTGAGTTTCCAATGGACCACATTTAGAGTTTTGAAGAGATTTGCAGTACAAATAAGTCAAATGGGGTACCTGCTAACTACCTCAAGCGCAAGCTCTTCTCATTCTCTCTAGCAGTCAAAGCACAGAGATGGCTCAAGTCTCTACCTCCTGAATCACTGACAAGCTGGATGAATGCAGAGATGTTTTGTTGGATCACTTCTACACTAAATCCAAGACAGCTTCGCTGAGAAACAAGAACATTACTTTCCAGAAACATTCATGAGAGTCTTTCTCTGAAGCTTGGGACAGATTCAAGGAGTACCGCAGAGAGTGTCCTCACCTTAGCATCTTCTACGATGGAGTTGAATGGTAATACAAGAACAACCTTAATGTTGCAAGCAATGGAGACTTTATGACCAAAAGTATTACAGGAGCATGCAAACTGATAGAGAACGTAGCTGCAAGTTCTAACAATTGCTGCCCAGAGTATGACAGGTCTAGACGTGTCAACAGTGTTGAATCACATAAGATTGATGAACTGACTGCGAAAGTGAATCTATTCTTGAAAGGAAACCAGTGAGGTGTACAGATCTGTGAGGAGAGGAGAGATGGAGTATTCTGTAAGAATGTTTCTACAGATGAGACTAATGAGCTGCATGAAGTGAACTATGTGAATGGACATGGCTTCACTTAAAAAAAGGGGATTCAATCAGAACAACATATTTCAGAATGGGTCTCAGCAGAACCAGCCTTTCAAAACTTTTCAGACAACAACAACAGCTCCATTCCAAGCTTTTGCAAGCTCTGCAAATGATGAACTCAAGGTCCTTATGCAGCAGCTCCTACTCAACCAACAAAAGTCTGCTAATGAGATCAATGTCAAAATGGATAAAATGTACAATGATCTTAACAACAAGTATGAAGCATGAGTGCTCATGTGAAGAAGCTAGATACTTAGGTTGCTCAGATTGCAGAAGCTAGCAAGAGACAACTTAGAAATCTTCCAGGAAGGGTTGAGACAAACCCCAGAAAGCATTGTAATGCAATGTTGAATTAGGAGGTGACAGAGATTACACTAGACTTGGGGGAGAAGTTGGACGCCCAAGAGATTGTTGAGACTGTTGATGATTCAGATGAGAGGTCTATTTACACAGCTCCACCACCATACGATCCCAAGGTTCCATATCTAGTGCCACCTAAACATCTAAGAAATTCTATTAGTGAAGAGAAGCTGGGTGGTTTTAACAAGATGGTGAGAAGGATTCCACATGAAGTCTCATTTGTTGAAGCTTTGGAGAGATATCCCTTGTGTGATTTCTTTAATAACTACAGAGAGAGTCTAGAAGAGATTGAGGAATTATTTAGCAAATCAATAGCTTAAGGTAGAAGATCCTGGGAAGTTTGTTGTTCCATGCTTTATTGCAGGAGTTAAGTTTGAGCAATCTCTGTGTTATTCTGGATCTAGTGTGAATCTTATGTCAAAGGATATCGCAGAGAAGTTGGGAATTTCTGTTATGAACTGTAACACCCCTGATTTGATCTAGACATAGATAAACCGAAAGCACCACAACATGATCGCCGAGAGCATTCAGGTCATAGTACTAAGAATGAATCAAAGACTAAATCCTAAATACTTTCAGCAATCTAACCTCTACACCTTCGGCCTAAGGCTTTTCAACCCATAGCAAAGTTTCAAGTTGTATTAGCTTGGACTAGCTAATATCATTTAACAAAAGCCGTTTTCACAAAACATACTCTAAATATTATACCATTCCAAAATAAGGATTTTACAAACATAGTATAAGTTTCGGCCAAGGCCTAGAGCCAAAATATTATACATATATTATACATATATTATACAACCAACTAATTTTACAAAAGCCAACGCAAATCTACTCCGGTCTCGTTTCGTACGCCTCTTACTGT